GAAAGTATCACTGAGAATGATGGGAAGCACTGAACAGTCCTGACTTTGACTGTATATTTTATTGTGTATTTGATTATTTCATTGGTCAGCCTACCCTCAGATTCCTTTGAAAAGGAACAGGAAACAGCTGCCGAACAGGCACTCGCCCACAGCGCTCTGTCACGTCTTTGCTTCCCAAACCTTTTCCCATCAGTGCTGTACTCCCTCTTGAAGGGACAACTTTATGTTCCCAGACAAAAAAATCCTTTCGCTCCTTTGAAGTGGGCGGTGAAATTTCTGTCTGGGACAGTTGTGGGAATGTGTTTTCATAATTGTAATGCAGATTCAGCACTGTAAACCAACTCTGTGCTATTTGAAGAATTTCAACATGAATAAATAACCTCTAAATTCATTCTGACATTATTCATAATATATTAGTCGGTAGGATGTAAATGGAAACCTGTGGGAAATACACAACGTCTGAAAGGGAAATGGCAATCTTCGGTCTCTAGACTGAGGAAGTCACTTGGATGAGTGACAAATTGTTTCTCCCACTGAAAACGCTATGTCCAGATGAACAGAATCAAGTCTGTTTTAAAAGCATAATTTTATACTCAGTTAAATGTGAAACTAATGATTGAGACTGTAAACTGTTTCCTGAAGGTGTTAGAAAGAATGGACGTTTAAGTCATTTTTTTATCAATTTGTCCATCTTTAATATACTGTTTATTTTATTTTTAAAGCACCCACCACTTCAGAGGTCTGTCAGCTGAACATCAGCCTCCTACAATGACCATAAAATTCTGCTACACTTGTTCCCAGGTCTCTTGGGGGTCTTGGTAACTGTTCTGCAGGGAGACAGACAGACATGAGTCAGACACAGCAGACACGGATTAAGGTGCATCTATGATATGGCATTCTGCAGGCTTTGAGCAGATCGACTGAGACAAATATACAAGTGCACCTTTAGGGTGGATGTGATCATTCAATTTTGAGCGTGTTTACCTGCTCTAAACACAGGAAATTGTCTGTCTGTGTTTGTTTGTGTGTCTGTGTGTATCACAAAAACACAGTTGTGTATTTTGTTTAACCTCAGTATATATGACAGTCATCTGCTGTCAGAGTCGGATTTCAGTGGCGGTGTTGCCCATCCTGGATCTACTCCCAGCACTTATAAAGTTATCCCGTAGACTGACTTCAGTTTCCTTGATCCTGCTATGCAACCAACCTTGAAACAAGACTCCAACTCATCATGTCCCTACTGGCACTCAGTGTAAAAAGAAAAAAAACTTTCATGCACAATTTCATGCCTCGCCCTGATGCTTCTCCTTTTGTTGATGGACTGATGACCCTTTTCTTCTTAGTAAATATGTGGGGAATTTAACAGGCGCTTAGCTTGTTTTCCATCTACTTCTCACGATATGCCGCTCATATTTTAGAGCACAAACCACGTGACAAACTGAATGAACACAATGGTGTTGAAGATGATTCAGCTGTGTTTTTTAATGATGTTGTACACTGTGTTCCCCAAATGAACCTGTGTATGAATTGTAAACATTCACAGAGTCCTAACTGGTCTGTTTGGAAAGCAAACAGTGAAAATGGAGGCAAATCTATTGTATGACCTCTGGACCATGCACATCTGACCTGATTCACTCTTGCTTCAAACAGCCACTTAAAAGCCACTGATGGCACTAACAAAAGAAAAAAAAAGAAAAAGAAAAAAAAAGAGTTGAGTACTACGTGTCAACACGCTGGTATTCACTTACATCTAGATGCTTACAGAGATAGAAACGGCTTCTGTTGACGGAAATTCTATACTCATGATGTTTCTCATCTTCAGGCAAAGTGAAAATCTAGCAAGACAGGTCTATGACTATGTCTGTAAATTGCACAACATTTCCTCATTCCAGTGGGACCAACTCCACTTGTGTTATTTTCTCTCAGAGTACAAGACCATAAAACCAGTGCAACTGGTTTCTGTGCGTTCTGGAAAGTAAGTATGAGTTTTTACTAATGTGGTGCACTAGACTTTCTTGTTTTATGTAGTGTGTGCACACTGTGGGGATACATGGTTAATAAAAGTGTCCACTATGGACAAGCCCAGGCCCAATTTCAAAAAATCTCAATTTCTTTAAAATTGAGATTAACACATCCTATTGCAAAGTATCAACAACAAGACATTAAACAACAACACAGAGACTAAGAAGGCTAGAAAGACGCAAAAACTAGAGCCTGACTGAGGTATTCATCACATATTTAACAGTAGTGGCAAATATGTTAGGTCCAAAATGACCCAGTGTGAAAAAGTATACGCCCCCCCCCTTTTTTTTTACAGAACATAATGCGAAATAATATTTTAAAAAAAGGAAAAGATCCTTGGAGTATTTTATAACTAGCTTCATCACGCTCAGCACAATTAGCTGTGTTTGAAGTCCAAACTTTCAACACAAGCTGAAAAAGAGACTCAGCGTGACTGCAGCTTGTTGCTATGTCAGCTTATTCACATGCTGGTCATGCGTTTTGGAGATGCGGCACACAGTGTGTTAATAACACTCACCATCATTCCACCTTCAAAGTGTTAATGCTACCTTATCTTAAACCTGTCTTAATAAACAACAATGTCATATGAAAAACTAGGGTGACACTAGGGGTGGCAAGAGATCATTTCAGGATGGCACATGCCACCCCTTTAAATCCGCCCCTGGGTGGTGGAGACCTTCATCTAGAAGAAATGCTGTAAAACTTGTGGAAATACAGTTAAAAAAATGCCCTCACTAACATCTTCTAGTGTCTCCTTAAACTGGTTGTGTTGCTTTCACGCAGAACAGTTACCCGGGGGTGGCCGTGTCCCATGATTTCTCTGTGATCTGGTCCCTGAAAGCCACGGGTGCTGTGTGGGCTTCGGGGGTGAGGCGGAGCAGTAGCAGATTTCCGACGCTAGGGGGTGTAAAGAATAAAGGAGGGCTTTATGGAGGATAGGCTCTGACGTAAGAGACGTCGTAATTTCCACGATTCTTTTATTCGTTCAGAGAGTAGAGCAGAGAAAGCACGCCGCTCTGAGTCACACAACAGACACGCCGTGGACTCCTCGTGGCTGAGGCCGGCCTGAGCATCAGAGCGACCGGCACATCAAACTGACGACAGAGGGGGGCGAGACGGGAAGCTTTGTGCGGCAGACAGAAGAGGAACCAGCTCAGCCAGCGATGTCAGGGCTGAAGAAGAGAAACTCCAACTCGTCCGTGGACAGGGAGGAGGATAAGCAGGTCACTGAGAGGATGCTGTCCCCGGGTAGCGGCAGTGATAGGGGGGGCTTCGGTCAGGATGGAGGACCGGGAAGCGACCTCAGCAGCCCCGGCAACGTCACAGCAGGAGACGGAGCGGAGGAAGGGGTCGCCCTGAAGAGGACCATCACGCTGTTGAACGGCGTGGCCATCATCGTGGGCACCATCATCGGCTCGGGTATCTTCGTCACGCCGACAGGCGTAGTGAGGGAGGCTGGCTCTGTGGGTTTGTCCCTCATAGTGTGGGCGGTGTGCGGGGTCTTCTCCACAGTGGGCGCCCTCTGCTACGCGGAGCTGGGGACCACCATCACCAAGTCCGGCGGCGACTATGCCTACATCTTGGAAGTGTACGGCTCCCTGCCGGCATTCCTCAAACTCTGGATCGAGCTGCTTATCATCCGGCCGTCCTCCCAGTATATCGTCGCCTACGTCTTCGCCACCTACCTCCTGAAGCCGCTGTTCCCCGTGTGCTCGGTGCCGGAGACGGGGGCCAAGCTAGTGGCCTGTCTCTGCATCAGTGAGTATCGGAGCTCAGGCACCGGCCGAGATGATGCAACTTTAGTGTGTGTGTCTGTGTGTGTGTGTGTGTGTGTGAGTCCCTATGCAGGCGG